TGCTAAATTAGGGACGGCTAGCGCAGATAGCCCTCGTGTAGCTTTGCGCGAAATTCAAAAACAATACAGTAACTATTTTTCTTTTAGAATACAATCACTGTAAAAACGACAACATTTAAATATAAACAAATATATTTTATTTAGCAACTCATCTGTAGAAGTATTTAGTAAGAACATTTGTCTCTATCACATACAATTGAATGTGAAGTATGTTTGTTTGTAAACCCTATCTATACCGGAGCGCGAGTACTGTTGACGAGTAGGTCAGTAGACGTAGAATAGGAAATTCACAGCTTTTTTGAGCCGAATTACTTTAGAACGGTCAAGCCTAGTTGATTAATAGGCAACAATAAAACAGAGTGGGCTAACATGACATACTCATCGTACACGAATTAAGACACAAGATTAGTACTTTAAACCCAGCTAATAAAATATATATGTTTTAGCCCTTATAATACTCATGCGGAAAGAAATCGAAACAAGGGTTTTATTCGATCATAGCTGTTCAGAAGATCTCCAGTATATATATTGTCCGATAAGCTTAAGTTTCTTGGACACGCGACTTTATTATTATTATTTTTTATCATAAAAACTTGGCATGCTAATACTTGAAATAACATCATTCTGGTCATCATACAGAGGGTGGCTGCTCTTAAAAGATTAAAGTCCAACGTAGCTTCAACACATATCATCGATGAAGTGCTCAATCGTTTATCTGACTCAGTAAACAATGGTAAAAGGGGATTCGATACTGTCAATACTAATGTTGGCTTTTCAATCTTTCCCAAAACAGTGAAAACAAAAAAGTTGAATTACGGTCTCTTGCGAGTGAAACCTAAGGTATATTGATCAGTATTGTGATTTGAGTAGTCATGTCATGTTGCGGATTTTCTCTACACATTTTAACTGTCAGTGCTGGTGTTTTTACAATAGTAAGTATATTTGATTAATGAAAGCATAAGGATCAAATAAATAGGCTTAGAAAATTCGACGTTATTATGTTTATACTTTATCGCATACAAACCACCCGTCAGGCTTAGTTTGAATATCCAATTTAATTATTAGCTACAAATTAACAATATATATATATATATATATATTATTCATGTCATAATTTATAAATTGGTATATCAAATCTGAGTTTCTATGAATTCATATAACTGGTATTGAATAATTCCAACAAAAATAATCTTTGAATAAAATATATAGCGTCTTTTAAAACCACTTGTTTTGAATAATTAATTTTACTTGAAGAATTAGTGTTACGTGTTTAAAAACTAACATATACGATCTATTTTAACGATATATATAATAAGTTTAAAGTACTTAAAAAGGCAATGTTATAATTAGTGGAAACTTGACTTGTACATCTTACAAAGTTTGAAATTTTGTTTTACATCTCATTTGATGCATGTTTAATGTAAAATGTCCTGTTTCGATGTAATTTAAGTTTTAAAGTGAATTTAATTTTTCTTCGCTCTACTGAACCTAGTAGTGACTGTGGTATATTTTTAACACTTTAATGTTGAAGAATATTTATTAGAACATTTTATCTAGTATCCATCTGTAACGCTGGTGGCATTGTTCTTAGGCAAATCTTCTTGTGCCTCAAATATTTTTGTCATTTATTAAACTTTACTCATGTCGACCGACATATCTCTATACTCACAAGATAAGACTTTTTAGGGATAATCGCCATGTGTCGTTCTTTCTATTTAACTTTTGTTCTGATCGTCAGTCTACATCGTCTTAACTTACATAACTGATTCACAATTTAAGTAGGTCGTCCATTATTTTTTCATAAATAAATGAAAATACCTAATTCTGAATATGTAGATTAAATCCTGGACATAAACCAACGATTGGACATTGAACATTACCCGACACAAACTGGATGTGTCAAAAATGGCGTCTGTCTGAACATCTTGTCTGTTTAATGCGATATTCACCACGAGAAATGCTTCACTGCAAAACTTTACGAATCAATCCCCCTCATCCTCTTGATTTTTTGACGTGCTTTTTTTTTCATCTCGCGGACCACAGTGGGATCTATACATCATGCTGCTGCTTCTTTTACGTGATTAGGCAACCTTTCCACAAACCTCCTGAAGGAATCCTCAAACCACCAGTCAGACTAATTAGTCAGAGACGGCTGATAGACGTCCCCTGCACTAGAGTATCAAAGGAAATTGCCGCGGCAAGTCTTCTAAGGCCCAATGAATTGGTCTTATCTAGACGTCGCATTTGGGGAGTAAGGAAAAACTTTTAAGCGAACCACCGAGAACCCTTTTCGAGACATTAGTTTAAATACTAATGTTAAGTTATAGGGCACGTTTGAATTAGGTGGACATTTTGTCTGGCCAGGTCTTGTTATTTAATTGTTTCAAAGCAAAGCCACCTTGAATTATATACTGTATCCACCGCACGGTATCGAACCACAGATTTTTGCGTTATAATTATGTAGAATTACTGCTGCTCTATCGGGGGTCATGGCCAGGTTAAAACCTTTAATTTAAGCCCTAAAAAACAGACCTCATGGGGTCCACGGAGCAAAATTACTTTGCAGCTCTCAAGAGCCATGGGCTTGATCAAACCAATATGATAAGCAGTTGTATCCGTGCATGAAAACAAACTATTATAGCTATGAAACGCATTTATTTATATATTGGATAAGACATTTCATACCACAACCAGTGTAGTACTACAGTTTTTAGTTATATTAGATTTCATCAGCTTAGTTAGATCAATGACACTTTAAAACAACATTTTAACACTCAACTGATCATGACATAGGATTTGATATCTTGCATGAACGCCATTTTCATATTTCAAACTCTATCACCACAAGGAGAACAAAACTTGATGTTAAACCTAACTTTAAAGTTAAGTAACCTCTAATTCTTATGCTATGAGATTTCTTTTCCAGTATGAAATAATGCAATAAGATACATGAAACAAGTTATATTTTTAGGAGCATCTTCAGAGTAACAGAACTTTCTATAAATTAAATATTTTGGAAGGGTTTAACGATTGGAAGTGTGACACGTGGTGTCAAGGCAACACAATAATGTAAACTATATAATCAATCGATAGATTTTTCCCCTAGTATTTGGCACTTTATTAAAGTGATAAAACATTACAAACTTATCGAAGAAACTATCATTTTAGTTTTAAGTATATATGAACAATAAAAAAGGTTGTTAAACATACTTAGCTTCCCATGTTACACAGCAGAGGGAGCAAAAGTCAAAGAAGCAAGACGCGAAATGGACAGTCTTAATCATAACGGTTCTAAGGTCTCATAGTTGTTGTTTTGTTTGGGGGGGGGGGCAAGACTCCGAAAATTAAAATATCAAAAATGTACAAGTTATTCAACATTAAGCAGTGGGAAATGGGGTTATTTCACCAACTGACAAGTTGCCCCATGATGATAGAGTGAGGAGGGTAACCCCTTTGCTCCCACCTGCTAGCGCCGTCCCTGGTCTTAGTACAAATTTTGTTCTGGGGGAGGATAAAAATGAGTGTGATGTATTTCAAAGGGTGGATAGTAGTAAAAAGAAGTAGCTTATAGAGACAGGTTCAGCTACCAGTCATGAAGACCAGTATATATATATATATAATTATTTGTTGGTTTGTTTGTCCACGAACTATTCCGTGGCCTTTGAACCAATTTCAACCAAACTTGGTAGAATGATACATTGGACCAAGAAGCGTGTCATAGGGCAGCTATTGCCTGGCCCCAACCAACAAGAGCAACGCCTACAGCAAAAATATGTCCGTTTAGCTAATGATTCAACAGTCTTAGACCAATTTTTTCTTTTTTTAACTTTTCTTTATTTTTTATGTTTTTTCTTGGAAAATATTGTGTTATTGGGTTTTCAAGAGTAGGATCAACAGGAAATCTCTTTATTGGCCCAGGAAGGTTTGTTTGTTTTCATTTTCGCGCAAAACTACACGAGGGCTATCTGAGCTAGCCGTCCCTAATTTAGTAGTGTAAGACTAGAGGGAAGGCAGCTAGTCATCACCACCCATCGCCAATTCTTGGGCTACTCTTTTACCAACGAATAGTGGGATTGACCGTCACATTATAACGCCCCCACTGCTGAAAGGGCGATCATGTTTGGTGTGAGAGGGATTCGAACCCGCGACCCTCAGATTGCGAGTCGAGCGCCCTAACCACTTGGCCATACTGGGCCTGGCCCAGGAAGAAAGGAAGAACATCTCATCTGGTCTGTCAGAGTATCAATAAACACTGAGGCTGTACAGTGAGATTAGTAAAATTAATAAAGTAAAGTATTGTAACACCATTTCTTTAATAAAATAAGTTATGCATATGAGTGCAAATTCTCGATTTCATTTATTAGTTCAAGTCCCACTTTCAATCCTTATGCCCCCAGACTTAAGACGGGTGTCTCAGCTTATTTCTTTATTAATATTAAAAGCTATTCATTCTTTATACTAAAATAGTTTTTAGTATCAGAGGTTCGTGAAGCAACTACTTGCTCGACCCGTATATTTTATCTAGGATTTGATAAATTATCATCTTTTATTGTTCATATGTATCATGAATTTCTACAAGATTAATAGTTAGCTCGTCCTATTTTACTAAGTCCTATTGTAGTGCTATCTATTGGTTTCTTGTTTGTAATTAAGCACAAAGCTACACAATGGGCTATCTGTGTTTATAGCGTTTCAAGTCCGCAGACATACCGCTGTGCCACTGGAGGGCCTATCTATTGGTAGTTGTAAGTAAATACAAACTTATAATGGCTGGAGACGGCATCAAATTTAAATACAAACTTGTCAAATCCTAAATCAATAAATCAAGCAAAAACAGTAAATATCGCATCTTTAGAAAACGTGTAAAACAACAAAACAACCAACAGATGGCACTATTTATTCAGTTTTATAATTTCATTTATTAGTGTACGCTCCATAATATATTTTCGAGCAAAAAAATTCTAGTAATTTATATTCCATAAACTTACTTGGAAATCGAGTTAGTTTAATTTTCTAAGCGCTTTTTTTTTTGGTAAATCTGTTGAGTGTATTTCTGAAAAAATATTTTTACATGCGATTAGGACTACGTAATAGCTGTGAAACTTGAGTGAAACTTTAATATATAGACTTTTATATAATTCGATATATAACAATTTAGTTGAATAGTTGTTCAGAAGTTATCTTAATTATATTTTTTATTCTGCAATAGAAGTCAGACTACTGCAGCTAATGCCTCTTGAGTACTTGACCTTGGATTTGTATCGAGGGAAAAATTCCTTACGCGACAAGCGATGTAGAATGTCTATAAATGTGGAAGATAAAATTACAAAACTTGCATACAGTACGAGTTGATAAAAAGGCTTATTACAGCACAGCAAAATCAGGGAATAAGAGCATAGTGATAACATATGCTTGCTTGCATAAAATGTGATAAGTGACATCGAAATCCATACATCAATGAGAAAATAAAACTGAACTGAAATATTTGGAGTTACTCCTTTTATTCTGTACCTACAAATACACAGACGAGAATGATGACACCATATATTTCATTTGCACATTTTGGGTTATTTATTTATTAATGGCTACGAGGAATAAACAACAGAACGTAATAGCCATCAAAAGTTCCGAGCTTCCACAAAGAGAATTATAAAATAAATTAAACTCTTACATTACAAGTATTTCACTAGATGGAGCCAGTACAAAAATATTACATTACATAGTGGAGAACCAAACCACACGCTTCTCACTAGGTGAGGTGAGTACACAAGTGTAGAACCGAATAGACTTTTCCCCCCTCTTCATGCATCTTGCCAGGACGCACAAATATGATAAACTAGAAAATTTAGTTCCAAATAAATTCTATACGCATCTCGCTATGTGGAGCCAGTCCTTCCCCTCTCCAAAACAAAACGAACAAAAATTTACAACAAAATATAAGAAAGTCAGGGAGTTTCGAGTAATCTGTGATGATTCTTACAGAAAATGTTCTAACCTGAGCATGTTATCTTTACTGTGATTGTGATACATAGACGACAAATAAATCCTGATAGAAAAGCTTGCCTGTTTGTTTTATCGCAAAGCTATATAATGGGTTGTAAGTATATAAACTTACCATTGACCCATCGGGGGACACAAAACCACGCGAAGTTACTTTTGTAGTTATTTGGCTGTCTAAGCACAAGCCTTCTGTGCACATGTGTGGGAACTTCAAATGTATAACTTCATCGTTCCTGATGAACTAAGAACACATCGATTTGAGAACGTCCGCAAATAGAAAATTCGCAGACCTACAATGTTTTTGATTTAGAAAAAAATCCCTTTTTATTTTGGGAGGAATAGCACACATTTCACATACAATGATTTATTTTTGACTTCCTGTACGTGTAGATTTAAAAAGTTTCGAAGCGATTGAAATTCCGGAAGAAATTAGATGACAAACCACGAAAACATGCAGACTACGATTCACTTTGGGAGATATTTACTCTTTAAACCTGTCTGAAAATTTCACTAGGAAAACCACTGAAAAAATTAAAAAAATCAAATCATAAATTTCAAACTAACTTCTTTAATATCTTAACTTCAGCCAATAAAACAAAAAACACAGAGATTATTGGTTCTCCTCTGCGTTATTAGTGATTCTGTATTACTGAAACTGTTGTATATGTATACCCTTCATCTTTAGCTGTACACTGATAACCATTATCCAATCGTTTGAATAATTTCAAAAAACAAAAAGTCAGAGATCTTATCCATTCATTACCAAAGCTTAAGCTTTCGTCATTCATTACGAAACATTATTTTTTGTATCATTACACAATAAACACTATAAAATTTCCATTTTTTCAGCAAAAAAGACAAACTCCCACCCTTAGACATATTCTAAATAGGACATAGAACCGTGATATTTAAATTTGATTAAGTAATACAAATATTATTTTATTTGTTTCGGAAATAACACAAAGCTACTCAAAGCTACCCGCATAAGTCGTTCCTATTTTTGAACTGATAGAAGAGAGGGAAGGCAGCTAGTCATCAGCGCCCACTGTCAACTCTTGGATTGGACTACTATGATTGAAAAGTTGGATTTGACCATCACTCTTAGATTGCATCCGGTCCTAATGTGCGGAGTGCGATTTTATGGCAACGGGACCCTCGGATTCACAGTCGGGAATTCTAATTAAATCATTTTAATTGATCTCCATAATAACTTTAAAAAGAACTATGATATAACATTGGAGAAAGGAAAGTTTGAACTTTAGGTACGCAGCCCGGAAGGCTAACCACTACACCACACTCAGCCTCCCTCACACACGACTTTTGTTCGGCGTTCGTATTTCTAGTTATTTTGTAAAACTTTACAAGTAAGTTATAATTGTAAAGGTCAGTTGCAAACCTTAAATGATGCCGCTTGCTTTCGGTTTAAAAGATCACAATATACTATGTTAAGAAACAAGAGTTGAGTACGCAAAGCTAGAAACAAAAATCATATTGGTTTTACTATATATAGTATATTTACTACATACATTATATATATATAAACTACGTGTTTATCGATACATGTTCTAACCAAACAGTTTAATTTATTTTAATTTCAGGTTAAAGTAAAGTATACGTTAGTTTCGAAAATATAAAAGGTATAATAGTAAATCCATAAGAAAAAGTGTGCTGTGGATATATGAAAAATCGACAACCATTTAGTTTAGTTCAAATATGAACCACAGTTTCACACAAATGGCTGAAGCCATATAGATTACACAATTAAATCGGGAGAAGCTTGCATTTACAGGCATTATGAACGATACCGATGAATTCTAACAATACAACTAGAATTCAGTCTTTAAAACGACTATAGACTTTTTATAAGATATAGTACGACAACTGTAAGAAGCTTATTCAATGACCTTTACAAACCATTCATATTTGCCTCTGTGTGCCATTGTTTGTGACGTTGTTTCATTATGCCTATGTTATTGTATTTTACGTATTATCTATGTAATTTATTTTACAAAAGAAAATGTGTTGCTGCTGAACTTTTCGAAGCCCAAAGAACTGACAAGAAGTCCATGTATATCAGAGATTCTAATAGAGTCACAACCAAGAAAACAAGAGGGAATCTTCAATAGACGCGGCGCTTGAAATTCTTTTAGGTAGGGTTAGAGTAAGTTAATGTACGATACCCCCTCCCCCTTTAATAGCTATATATTTTTGCGCCAGCAATACCGAGCGTGGGGCGCACGCATACCCGATTCGATTTTATAACTCACAAGGAATTGTACCAGCCTACCCTCAAATTAAAATTCTTTTAGACAGGTTTAGTTTAATCTATGAAACCTTGGGCATGGTCAGTTACATCAATCCAAAGAATTTGACCTCTTGACTCTAAAACTGTAATTATATCTCAAATCGGTCAAGAAATGACGGAACTATGAGCCAAAAGTTTGTACTAGAAAAAAAAAAACTAACTCAGAGTCATTTTATGAACCGCTATGCCGCGGCTAAACATTAGTTTTGCTTTATTACTTTAAAATTAGGAATGACTGGACCAACTTGAATGAAAAGTGCAGACAGATATATTCACGGAAGTCATACTTTGACGATTATTTTAAAGTCCTCATGACTGGCTGTTAACTAATCTGATGTCTGTTTATACTTCAGCTGGAGAGCATATTTGGGATTTCTTGGAGCAGCCATGGTCTGATGTTGATACACACAAATCCGAATGAAACTGAAAATAGCACTAGTAAAGGTACGTAATAATTTTATACAAAAAAAAAAACAGAGAAAAGGAAAATCAAGGTGAGTAATATATACTAATATATAATAATGAATATGCATGAAAGAAACCTGATACAAAGGGAGAGAAATCAACAACAAAATATATACAACTTAATAACAATGTGAGTAACATTTCGAACCAAGAACAAGGCGATTACATCTGTAACCTATAAACAATTCTTTGTTTATTATAGCACAGAGCTACACAATGAGATGTATGCGCTCTGTTTACCGTGGAGAATATAACCTCGGATTCTAGTGATATACGTTCGTAAGCTTTTCTCTGATACACCAAAGGATCATATGAACAAGATGAGTCACATCTGGAATCAAGAACAAGCTGAAGTTACGCTTCGAACCAAGAACTTGATGCGCCATCACTTCTAGAACCATGAATACGCCTAGCCATCACATCTACAAACTAAGGGAGTTTCATCAAGACCCGGAGAACAAGATGAGCTACACTTAAGGGCCGAGAACAAGACGAGTAACATTAAGTGCTCGAGAATAGGACTAGTAAAACTAGATACTGAGAACAATAGAAATCGCATATAGAAGTTAGAACAAGATGACTCAATTATAGTCTGGGAAAAAGGACCAGTCAGTAACAAAGTGGTTTATATCCAGAAGTTAAGAATGTGATGAAACGTATCTACGAAATAAGAACACGGCGGATCATGTCATAAACCTAAGAACAAGATGTGATGTATCTTAAGACTAAGGAAAAGATGATTCTTAAGCCTAGGAAATGGCGGGCCAAGTCTCCAATCTAATAACAAGGTATGATATGTCTAAGAACTGAGAAAAATACTGTTAATGTCTAAGAACACAGCAAGTAATGTATCGAATCTGTTAACAAGGTAAGATATACCTAGAAACTGAGGACAAGGTGGGTCTAGTCTTGACCCTGAAAACATGGTGGGTCACGTCTCGAACCTAAAAATAAGGTGTGATGTGTTTAAGAGTGAAGAAAAAATGGCCCATTTTTTCTGCCTTGAGACAAGATGAGATATGTTCTAACCAAATCACAAAGGGGCCTGGTAACCATGCAAAATGTTTTATTTGATATTCTGTGTGTTCTGGTTATAGTAAAAAGGGTTTACTGGACGTTTTTTTTTTTTTTCTTCTGATTTTTCTTCCAGTTTGTAATAATTTTACTTCAAACTGCTATAAATTCCTGTGCACATAATATATATATAATTCAATAAATATAAGAAAGAGAAATAAAATTAACAAGAGCTGAGTAGGAAATATTCTACCTCGATGTGTCCAGAAATTCAGCCATAGATTATTGTATTTTTATGAGAATTTTATTAATGAACTTTTCCAAATGATATCATTCTAATTATCGTAGTTCGTGATTTATAACTTTTGTAGAGCATATTACAATATTTTTCCACAGAGGGTCGAGTATAATATACTATGCAAATACGCAAGTGATGTGACAATCACAGCCAATATGGCTCGGCATGGCCAGGTGGTTAGGGCATTCGACTCGCAATCTACGGGTCGCGGGTTAGAATCCCCGTCACACCAAACATGCTCGTCCTTTCAGCCGTGCGGGCGTTATAATGTGACGGTCAATCCTACTATTCGTTGGTAAAAGAGTAGCCCAAGAGTTGGCGGTGGGTGGTGATGACTAGCTGCCTTCCCTCTAGTCTTACAGTGCTAACTTGAAACAGGTATGCCTGCTACTCCATACAAAGATATACCATCCAAGTCATCTGACACATCACCTATGGATTTCTGTGCGATGGGAAAGTTGGGAAACTTTTATCTGTATTCACTAGATGGATAATGGAAAGTTTCTTTGCTTTGAATTTCGCGCAAGTCTATTCGAGAGCTACCTACGCTAACCGTCCATAATTGAGTGGTGATCAACTAGAGGAAGGGCAGCTAATCAACACTACTCCCCGTCAACTCATGGGCTACTCTTTTACCAATGCATAATGGGATTGATCATCACGTTATAACGCCCCAAAGGCTGAAAGGGTGAGCATGTTCAGTGACGGGGATTCGAACCTGCGGCTCGAAGATTGCGAATCGAGCTTATGGAAAGTTACAGATAGGAATGATGTGCTTTGAACGTGGCAGCTCCACATAGGAGACTTTTGTGGAAAGTGTGCTGTGAGGCTATTGTCAAGGTTCAAGGTGTCAAATAGAGTATGACCGGACGTGGCAACATGAATTGTAACGAAGCAATGAGGCTACAAAATCATTTTAATACAACGTACCCAACACTCTGTATGATTATAATTATTATTCAGTTAAAGAAGAAACGAGAACTGGAACCAGTTACAAGTTTCTTCAGATACCTTAGAGAATTTACATCCAGAGGAGAACAACCGTCCCTAATTTAAAACTTATAAGCTAGAGAGTTTATTTGTTTGTTTTTGAATTTCGCGCAAAGCTACACGAGGGCTCTCTGCGCTAGCCG